TCTCTCTCTCTCTCTCTCTCGCTCTCAAAAATGAACATGTATAGATCATTGGAAACTAATGTTAAAAGGACAACTTAGTATCTTATGGTTTTGCTTTGATGTTCTCTCTCCAAAAATGAATTGCATATTGCGCACTGAGACAAAAATGAACATGTATGGATCATCATTTGGAAGCTAATCTTATAAATAAAAGAAGCTATGTGACAGTTCTTTGTATATTAAAATGCTATTGCTCTCAACTATCTGATCTTGGTTGGATAGGTTGGATAGTTTAGAGTGTTAATTGAATCCCGCCCCTCCGCCCTTAAAGATCAAGTCTGAGTTGAAATTTTGAATGGCCCCTCCCTAAAGATCAAGTCTGGTTGAAATTTTGAATGTAGACCTGCCCTCATTTGGTCATGTCTAAAAAAAATATGGATTGGATGCTATAAGACCCTTCATTTTAATAAAGCAGGCACAACCACTCTTAAGTCATCAAATGTGAAATCAGGGATCTAATGTGAAATCAGGGTATGTCATATATTTTGACAAAAAATATTTTGATTTGATCCCCAGCCAATTACAACCCTATACAGCCTTACTGGCCGATTTAACAGCAATGGTTAATAGTAATTATCACATTCTTGTGTCCATTGGAAGCCCAAATCAATAAAAATAAAAGGACTAAAGTGACACTAAGATTAATGAGTACTTTGTAATTTTATTTTTAAGGAAAGTTATTTTGATTTTTGTGCCCAATCACGCACTCTCACTATCCAATTTAATATATGATGGTCGATGGTAATTATGACTTTGTAACAAAAAAATAACGGTCCTACTATATAATTTTCCATTAGAAGTATAAATTAATAAAAATAAAACATCCAAAATGATATTGCAAGGTTCAAGAGTATTTTAGTCATTTTATTTTATCAAATTAGTTTCTTTACAACCATTTGATATGAAATCTGATAACATGGATGTGTCATAAAGTTCGAAAAATTTCTTTTGAAGTTTGAACTTAGTCAATGGAATAAATGCAATCATCTAATTTCACATTTAATGCTCCTGATTAATTGTGACCATCTTACACTAAAATAAATGGTCCCATTTTATATTTTTCTTTTTTCTCAAAAAAAATATTCAATAAGACCATCTATAATTTCATTTAAGAGGCCACAACATATGAGCCTAAAATTGGGCGGATGATAAAACTTAAGGTTGGCAGCAAACATGGGGCTCCAAGTTCGAATTCTTTTTTCGAGTGATGTGCAGAGATGACACGTGAGCTCCCTAGATATTGGCTTTTACATATAACGGCTTAAGATTTTTGTGACCAAAGTAACAATCTCATTGCAGGCAAAGATTTTTGTGACCAAAGTAACAATCTCATTGCAGGCAAACCCTTCTCTCGCATGTAACATTAGGAAAAGTATATACAGAGACCGTTTATTTTTAATACGAGGAGGTCACAATTATTTTTTTCTATCAATTTTCGAATTGGGTGGATGTGATTACGTCACTGACTATCAACTATCAACTTTCGCTTTTGTGTATCAACTTTCAATTAGGTTGGGTTTATTTTTAATAAAAGGATGTCACAATCACTTTTGTCTATTAACTTTCAAATTAGCTGGTTGTGATTATTGCATTGACTAGATTCAATCTTTCTTGATGGCAATTAAGTCAGGTTTGGACCCAATTATTGAACCTGATGGTATGAGTTTATGTTAGGGTCGAATAGATGTCAACCCTGCCTGGCATAACTTAGTACACATATATTGAGCTGGTCCTGATCCAACCCAAATCCAACTTGACAAATCGGGTCTGGCCCAAACCTTGGGCCGAGTCTTAACCCAACCTAATTGGTTGTTTGGGTCGGGAGCGAACCGGAGTACAGCCACTTACAACCTTACTTGAGATGGTAAGCTAAGGTTTCTAGTAGGGTTAGCTATAGTTTTGCTCCTTGGGTTATTGAAAAAAGTGTATTCCTCACATGTTGATCATAGAATATAGAGTCCTTGTGGGTTATTTAAGAATTGTTGACTGCTTGTTATGACCAATATTTGCATACATTCCGGATTATGTCTTTGAATTTCAATGAATGTAACATCAACACATTATCTCCTTCATATCTTTCATTGCTTTTGTTGGGCCCTTATTTGAGGATTCATTTCTCCATTCTAGCATTATTCTTTTCTTCATCCTATAAATTTTGGATTCACATGATATCGATAGTTTTTGAATATTATATTTTTGTATATCTATTTTAATTTTGGTATAGGAGATCAATGGGACCTTTCACACATGACTAGAAATATTTTGTAAATGGATGAAGTTTCTATAAGGTCTAGGATTTATGAAAATAATATAATGCCTCACCTAAAATCCTCATTTAGAAAGCACTTTAAGCAACAGAAATCTCCATGATTGATCTAAATAAACTCAAAAAATGGTACAAATCTTGAGGATCTATGAACACTTACTTTTAGGGTGAAATGGACAATCTAGATAATTTGTTACAATATACAAAAATTTTAGAGCTTAAAATCTTAATTTTTAATTTCACAACTAATATTTCAAATCGAGATGAAGGATGTAAAGATTTTCCAACGCCTGAATTGGAATTTTTGATGAATTATAAGATGAGGCTTTATTTATTTTGATAGGGCTGCAGCCCTATCAAACCATTTTCCTTCTAAAATGTTCTTTGAGAAAAATTATAGATCGAAGTGCAACCAGTCGGGCCATGGTCGGCTAGAATTCATAGTTCTCTCATCCATAAGACATAAAAAATTGTTTTGGAAATGTTCGAAAAGAGTTTTATTATGAAAATAATTAACTTGGTTTGGGAAACAGTTCGATTTATTTTAAGGGCTCTATTACGTACTCCCCAAGGAGAAAACTATACAGGTGGTCCTCAGGGAAAATGTCCACTTAGAAGGATTTGTTTAATCTGATATTATGTGAAGTACCTAAGAATCACCTGTATAATTTCAAGAGATTGATTTCGAGTTCCTAAGCACCTAGGGCCCTTGCAAAAAATGAGACAATCTTCAACCCACGTATGGATTTTTTAGGTGATTACAAGGTCTACCTCCATTTCTTCTTTTTTTTTTTATTTTTTTATTTTTTAGAAGTTATATGTTAGTAGTAGTAGATTATATTCTAAAATTTGGGAGCAGGTTTTTCGAAGAGGGAAGCAAGTGTACAGTTTGCTCCCTCAGCAGCCTATAATGATTTCACTTTATTAGAAGTACAAGCACGAGAAATAAAACAAGCGGATGCCTTTCAAGGGAAAAAGTTGGTGGGGCCTCCTAGCCTAGGAATGGGGATCCTTCTAGAAGCCTTTCCATTTTTTATTTTATTAAATAATTAATTTTTTTATAGAAGAATTTCAATCTTAAGGCAAACAAGGACAGGCCAAGAAGCCTTGATTGATTCCTTGGGTACCTTCCATTTCCGGTTTTCGATGCATCAAAACGACCCTACAACAACAATCTACAACGCCCGACCCCTCTTTCTCTCTCTAACACGAAATATCCCTAAAAAACACATGGAAGTAGCCTCTCTCTCTCTATAACATGGAATATCCTGAAACAAACATGGAAGTAGCCTCTCCTCTCTATCTAACATGGAATATCCCTAAACAAACATGGAAGTAGCCTCTGTCTCTCTCATATATTATAGCTTCTCTTTCTGTCCTCATTTATGCTGTTTAATTTCTCTTTCTCACACTCTCTTCTCTCTTTCCTATACAATATGGCTTTTACTCTCAGTCTCTCTTCTCATTTGAGCCATAAAATTTAGCTCTCTTTCTCTCTCTCTCAAATTCCAACACTCCTATGAGAGGACCCATCATCAATCAAAGCCTCTTAATTGTGTTTCGAACCCAAGACATATATTTCCTGACACCAGAAGAGGTAAAAGCCTGCAACCCCCTTAACATCTCCAAATACCAACATCTTAACCTACTCCATAACTTCAATGCACCCTATTTCTTCTTCCTCCCCAGATTTTCTCCTCTCAAGTAGAATACATGTCCCCATTTCCTCTCTCTACAGTTGATCTACTTAGATAGAGAGAGAAAGAGTGGCCTGTGCAATTATAGTGAACAGCAGTCATGGATGCTGAGAAAGCCAATGTTCTGATATGGGGCGTCTTTGGGCTCTTTGGGTTTATGGTATTCCTCCTCCTCCTCAAATCTCTCTCCAAAATTCTAGCAAAAAGCCCCAAAAACTCAGCTCCTTCCCCGTTTTCTCTCTCTTCATCCCCCTATATCATTACTCGGGAACTCGATATCGAAGGTCTGAAATCGGCTACTGATGATTTTAGCTCGCAAAACGTGATTAAGGTCGGCGAGTCCGGCGAGTTTTATGAGGGATATTGGAATGGAGAAGAACACATTGTAGTGAAGAAGGTTTTTGAAGGCCATTTAGAGAAGGAATTGGATATACGCACAAGCTTGGTTACTGGTTCAAAGTACTTGGTGCCATTGATTGGGCAATGCATAGGAGAGAGCATGGGTTTCTTGGTTTACAGACCCATGGCCAACAGAGATCTAGCCACTGTTCTTGCAAATGGACGGTCAGATCAATCTCTTCCATGGATCGTACGGCTTAAAATCGCTGTGCAGGCTGCTGAAGCTCTGGTGTACCTCCATCATAGTTGCATACCTCCCATACTCCACAAGTAAGTAGGTTATGGTTTACTTATTTGGAAAAGTATATAATGAGACCATTTATCTTTAATACATGGTGGTCACAATTAATTTTGATCATTGGATGAGAAATTAGATCGATGCATTTATATTTTTTGACAAAGCTCAAATTTTAAAAAGAATTTTCTCGAACTTTGTAATACATCCAAGTTATCAGATTTCATATCAAATGGTTGTAAATAATTGTGATATCCTTGTATCAAAGATAAATGGTCTCTTTGTATAGAATCTTTTATTTATTTTTGTGGTTATGCTATTTTTGTAGTTATGCTTTAAAGTATCTTTTGAATGACAAAAGAGATGCAATATAAGCTCGGTGGTTAGAGTTAGCTCTAAGAAATAATCCCAAATTTTAAAGATTATATGTAGTCGCGGAGCACAATGTCCATTTACTCCCTAGGGTAAACCCTAGTTGGGGGAGTATATCTAAGGCATCAATTTTTGGGCATGTAACCTCTTCAACCTATCACCTATCAACCATTCCTAAAAAAAAAAAAAGTTGATGTGTTCTAGAAAAGTGATACATGTTCTATGTCTGCCGGTAAAAAATAACGCCATGGGATTGAACAAAGTAATTTTGGATGGTTAGATACAAGTGCTCAGGAACTATATATATCATCTTGATATTCTAAAATAAAGCCCCCAAATTTTAGATAAGGAAAATTTTATATAAGGATGCAACTTTAATTGTAGAAGTAAAGTTGCATTAATCTAAACCATTTATTTTGTTTGAAAGGTGGACATTTGATGATGTTTAAAAAGACGTGTCAGTTTTTTACATTAATGTAAAAGACGTATCAAATCTATACTATTCAATTAAAATAAACGGTGTAAAACATCGCAACTTTACTTCTATAATTAAAGTTGCGTCTTTATACAAACCGCACCGTCTACATAAATAAGAATGTTATTTATAGGTATGCTCAAGGGAGACAGTGTATAGTGTGCTCTAACGAGCGTCTGCAATACAAGCTCGCGAACCTTATCCCCTACCCATGGCTTTATTTCATCAAACAAAAAAGAATCATAGATGTACAGTTTTTTGTTTTTACTTTTTTGGTTTTTTGTTAACATAGATATAACTGAGTTATCCATTTAAAATGTTCTATAAGGTTATTATAGTATTACATCAGTATAGTACACTATAGATACATCGATCGTGATGCTTTATGGTGTACCATATGTCATGCTCCATGCTCCCTTAATTTATGCTATATCTTATGTGGGAAAAACATTAGTTTAAGGCTTTTCCCAAAGGGGAAATATTCTATAAGCTCGTAGTCCTTGTTATGTGCTACACCATAGGTGCATCCATGGTCCACTTATATAGACCACTGAGGCTAAATGTGGATTTCCATGTAGTGCACTATACACCACACACAACCCATGGTGTACATTTCATATTATCATGGATATTTTTGTGGACCACAAGGCATATCTCATTAATGTTTTTTGTTTTTTTGTTTATTTGCTACATGATATCTCTTTATAGTTTGTCTTATTGGGTGGGTAATATCTCTTTATAGGTTTCTAGATGAGAAGTTTCGTGTTCACTATTCTCTCTCATGATTTTGGGATAAGAATTATGGGGTTCATATTTGTCTCTCATTCCTTTGGTCCTTGGATGAGAAATTTTGGGGTCCATGACTCTTTGTCATGGCTTTCTTATGTTTAATGGGTTTGTTCTTTTGTGGGATTTTAGAGAGAAGAAAAGTAGAAAAGGGACAATTTTCACCCAACTAGATTCCCAACCCCTCTCTCTTTCTCCTACCAAAAAAACAAAAAGGAAAAATTCTCCTCTCTCTCTCTCTCTAAAAATTAATTTAGAGCCCAGATGGAGTTAACTCAATTCTAGAGGAAATGAAACATGGCATGTTCGGAGGGGCCTTTGTTCTTGAGTGTGGTTTTTTTTAGTATGTTTAATAGAAAAACTAAAGTAAAATAAAATTTTTTAGGGTGAGGTTTGTATGTTCCCACTTTATACTATACAAGTAAGGTGCACATCTAAATTTTGTTAGAAGATTAGTTCTGTTGTTGGAAAACTTATGATGCGCTATAATTGAAATTTTGAAAATAGATTATCCAAATAATTTCTTCCAAGATGTACTATTTTAAGACTTGAAATTCTTTTGATTATATCTATATATCTTGAGGTTTAATAAGGAATGGGAAGGTTTTCCAACTTTGAAATATTCTTGTCTATTGGATTTTTGAGGTGCACCTTACTCTTATAACATAAGGTTGAACCTTACTGTAAACGTTTTTGTTTTTTTTAAGTAAATTTAAGAGGGATTTGCCATATTTCTCATTCTCATATAAGCTACTTAAAATAATAGAGTTTACTCGTGAGTAGGTTGAAGTGGACCAATTGCCTCACAAGGGTGTTCAATGGCTATTTTTTTGGAAATAAATCATTTTCATAAGGGAATTTTTGACTATCAATTTTTTTAATATTTAGATCATCATCATCAAAGTTTGGGTTCGAGTTCCACATTATATGTTTTGATCCCGGTCTAAGTCCCGTGACTTTAGGTCCCGGTTTGGGTCCGGTCTGGACTCAAACCCGACTCGTTGTCACCCCTAGCTTTATACGGCATAACCAATGTGCCATCTCTCTCTTTTTCTCTCTCTCTCTCTTATCTCACCAGCTTTTCTTTTTTTTTTTATTTTTAAATATCATTCCTTTCACCAACTCTATGCAATATCTCATTCCAAGATTGTTCATTCTTCGCAGTGACATAAAGAGCAGCAGCATTTTGCTAGACCAGGAATACAATGTGAGGCTTGGGAGCCTAACCAAGGCCCAGAGGGTGACTCATCAAGGCTCACTAAGACACGATGTTCGTTGCTTTGGCAAAGTCCTCATGGACCTCGTCTCTGGTCTAGACTATAGTGGTGGTAAGGACCCATACGCTCAAGCCTGGGCTCACAAGGCCTTGGTCTGCATGCAGGACCAAGGCCCACTTGTTTCCATGGACCCAAGCCTTGTTGTTGAAGAAGACCTCAACAAAGAGATCACAGGTGTGGCTTACTTAGCCAAGGCTTGTTTGAGTGAGAGTGAAGAAGATGGGCTCACCATGAAGGTGGTCCGTCAGGTCTTGGATGAGCCCTCATGGTGTGTAGGTGGTCTAGTGTGGGACCTTGGTGATGGTTTATTGGACTCTAGAGAGATAAATAAATGAGGCTGAAGTAGTTTGTACAAAGTTGCATGGGTCTAGAGAGATAAAGAAATAAGGTGGTGAAGAGATTTTCTCATGGCTCTAGAGAGATAAAGAAATAAGGTGGTGAAGAGATTTTCTCATGGGTCTAGAGAGATAAAGAAATAAGGTGGTGAAGAGATTTTCTCATGGGTCTAGAGAGATAAAGAAATGGCTGATTGGGATCTAGAGAGAGAGATATGAGGTGGTGAGGAGATTTTCTGTAAAGTTGCATGGGTCTAGAGAGAGAAAGAAGTGGGTCATTTGGGGTCTAGAGGCATAAGGAAATGAAGTGGTGATGTAAAGTTTGCATTGGTCTAGAGAGAGAGAGAGTCATAAAGAAATGAGGACGGTGAGGAGGTTTTATGTAAAGTTTCATTGTTTAGTGCCGTAGTTTATGCATGAATATGAGGAAGTTTCCCAATTTGGATAGAGAAAGATGGTCAAAATTCCAAATCAATTTATTTTATTTTTCTTTCTAATTAAACCATCTCCAAATTTGGAGGGGACATACTTTTGCTATTCCCACTAAGCAATAATCTCATATGAATTATATTTTATATAATTTATGTTTGCATCATGGGGCTCATGCTAAATTATACTGGAGCTACTTGTTACTTAACAATCTATAATTAATACGTGAAGTTGTTGTTAACTCAATAATCTACTTAAAATAGATATGGTATATAAAGAGATCAAAGGTCACATTCACTTTTATATGTTAAATTTTAAATCGGGTGACTGACCGTAAATGTGTTATTGACTAGACTCAGAGTTCAAAAAAAAATAAAAAATTTTCGAGCTTCATGACGTAGCCCACGGTATCCAATTTACTAATGACTAAGAGTTATTGTGACCTCCCTTTAACAATAGTAAACGATCTCATAGCATACCATCGTGAGTGATATTCCCTGATAAATATGAATTTTATGTGACTTACGGTTTATTGAAAGCTTGCTTACGACTTTGGGTCAAATAGGAGGTGCCATACATAATCCAATTCACTTATCCAATCATATAAAATGTGTACTTCTACAATTATGCTAGATCAATGAATATAATAATCACATACAGAAAGAGAGAAAGTAACTAGAATAATTAATATATCATATAATCAAATAAATATCCCAATTTAGTTCCCACATATTTCAAATATAAGATTGAGTAAAAGTGTGATGCAAAAGATAACCAAAGAAAAAGAGAAATCGTGACATATATTTTGTAAAAACAAAATTTCTTTTTCTAAACTTGTCTAATGATTTCTTATGTTCCTTTAATATAAATCCCCATTTTTAAAAAAATATTGTTTATATCACTTAATCAAACCGATTCAGACCCAATCCATATTACCATTATGACGATCCGATACGCATTTGTGAGTGAACGATCCATCCCACCAATCCTTGTTTTAAAATATTGTATTAAATGATACACTTATAGCAGCAATAGGCCATAATTTCTCAATTGTAGTAAAAAAAGAACTTACCATTACTCAAATAACCATGATTCATAAGTCCAAAAATACAACATAATAAAGTTCACCATTGCTTATGCTAGTTTATATAGAGAGTAATATATACATACGCTTTGTTATATTTATGCTAAATTATTAAGCTACAGTTAAGGGGTGAACACTTGTCGCAGTAAAATAAAAAATAAAAAATAAAAAAAAATGGTGCTCCAAGTAGGAGTAAAATTATAGAAGTCCATGGTCAAGGATTCCATGCATATTAAGTAAAGTGCCTTTTGTACTCCACGAAGATCAATATCAAACAAATTAATCGCTTTATATAGAATGGAGATATATTTCTGACCATGATCGAGTTAGATAAAATTGTATAATGAAGTACATTACCTTTTCTATTAAACCCGTTTTTGTAGAACAAAGATGTATCTCTAACCTCTCAATAAATGAGCAAGGATCGAGTGTGGCGCAATTTGAAAAATGACCGAGTGTGACACAAATGTTTGGGTAAGATTTTTCTAATTGAAAAAGAGGAAGGTTTCTAGTTATTAAGAATTTGATCGAATTATATCCAATAGGAATTTCATATACCCCACCCCATACTGTCTCAAAAAGCTACAAGGAGAACTTAACCTAGTTTTAAAGTATCACGATACTTGTCCGCTTCGTAAATGGTTGAAATTAGTAGTCTTCATAGGTGATATAGTCATCTTCATCATCCCAGTTTTATCCAAATTATTTAGAGTCAGCTAATCAAAACTTGTTCCACCTATTGGTTCAGGATTTATTAAAAGATGCGGTAAGAGTCTTAACTGGCTACCTTACCTAAAACGATCATCCTCCTTGACCTAGGCTTGGAACTGGCCATGGTGGCGTTGACATAGTATAATACAAATATCATAGTTGACAAGGTATGATACGAATATCGTAGTATACAAAACTCATGTCTTCTCGAGGTTCAAAATATAGTATACACATTGTATTTATAATAAGGGATTGTATACAATGAGATCATTTACCTTTGATACAAGGAGGTCACAATTACTTGCAACCATCCGATGTGAAATTTTATAGTTTGGATGTGTCATATAAGGTTCGAAAAAATTTCTTTTGAAGTTTAACTTAGTCAATGAAATAAATGTAGCCATCTAATTTCACATCCAATGGTCAAAGTTAATTGTCAAAGATAAATAGTCTCATTGTATTCTTTTCCTTAAAATAATTGTATGGTACACACAAAGGTAGGCGCACTATTTATTTATGGTACCAAAAACACCTAGCGTACAAACAATTTGAAAAGGAAAGTGTTTTGGTTCGCAACCCTATCAAAATAAGTAAAGCCTCACTTCAAAACTGACTCAAAATTGTAGTTTTGGCATAAAAAAACCTTCAAGTCTATCATCTCGGCCTTGACCATTACGGTTGTAAATAAAAAAAAAGATTCCATGCCCTAAAAATAGTGTAGATTGTAACATATTATCTAAACCGTCTATTTTGCTCTAAATATAAGTTTTATGGATCTGCAGGATCTGTAATTTTTTTAGCTTCAAATTTCAAAATTGGTGTTAAAAATTGATTTTGGAGCCATGAAGAAGATTTATGATACCCAAATTAGCCTAGGCCTTATAGAAACTGCACCCGTATTCACATATAATAATGATATAGAAGAAGAATAATCTATAGGACAAAATATTCTATAATATAATAAGATTATAACTATATATATGTGTAATGCACCAAACCTCGGCTCGGGTCTCAACTCTAGCTTAAGCTGAGTAACTCAGCCAAGTTGAGAATAGGGCTGGGGTTGTGGAGGTAGTATCACTTGAGCTCCAGTTAAAAGGTCACGACCTCCATTCTCACCGCCACTATAAAAAAAATTTGACTACTCTAAAAAACCGTGCAAGAGCTTGTAATCCCCAATAACTTACCAAAAAAAAAGGTCGGAGATGACTTGAATAGTTTCTATATAGGACAAATGTAAAATTTTGTTAAAAATAAATAAAAACAAAAAAAAGTAAAATATGTAATAAAAATTATTAAAAGCTAATAAAAATAAAAAAAATTATACAAAAGATGGATTATTCACTCGCACTTAACTAAGTTACTCGAACTCGTTCTTACCAAGCCAAGTACCTCGGTAAAACTAGGGGTATTTCATATATAATTTGGATATTTTCAATAATAATTGGCGAGTTTTTCTTGCCATATGCCCTATTCTTATATTTTTTTCTTTTTTGGATTAATTTTTTTCAAATTCATAATTTATATACTTTTAAGCATATTTGGGCTTATTATTCTTTTTGGTTTTGTTCTTTTTAAGCATATTTGTGCTTATTATATTTTATTTTAATAAATTTTTTTATATTTTTGGGCCAAGTACCCAAACGAGTTCCTGGGACTCGCCCAATTAACTCAGCTGACCTCGGCTGTATGTGGCCCAAGCCCGAGTTTCTAAAAATTGAGAAAACAAATTATATAAGCAGTACTAACAGACACGGTGACTCTCTCACATCATTGTATATCACATCATTTATGGCAATGAACATTTGAAAATAGTCTTTTTTTTTTTTAACATGAACATTTGAAAATAGTCCTAAATTTCAATAGGTTTTCTTGGCAAAAACAATTGACATAGTTCCTAAATTTCAATAGATTTAACATGAACATTTGAAAATAGTCTTTTTTTTTTTTTTAACATAAAGGAATCGACGCTACTCAAGATTGAGAATATTGAATGTCATAAATGTTAGTAGTTCTTTTTCGTTCTTTTTTTCTTTCCAAAACTTGCTTATAACAAACTCAAATATCAAGCCTTGATAGTTTCTCTTTTATGTTATTTTAAAAAAAAAGACTTAAACTTCCTCAACAAACTCAAATATCAAGCCAGCAAGCTAAGCTAGTTCCTATTGAAGTCGCACTAGGCATGCTCCGTATAGATCTTTTATCTCTTTGGAGTTTAAAATACAAATGAAAAAGATATTATACTTCCCACATTCTATTCTTCAATGGGTGATAAATATAACCTATTATTTTTCTCTTTACGAATAAGACAAAGCACACTTTCCAAATAACATTTTATCCATCTCATATAAACTTAGACAACAAGAAACGAGCCTTTGACAGGATTCAAAATGCGCTAAAATTCTTCTCAGACTCTATGCAACTTTGTGCAAAGCCACATGCGAATGTTGTGCGACTTTGTGCCGAGCCACTCAATTTCACATGTGAATGTTGGGGATGATTGTGACATTCATATAGTGGTCTTACATAATGCAATCCTTGTAATTTATATGTCTCGTGAAATCCAACCATTTAATTCTTATTCAAGTTATTGAGAATAAGTCAACAATAATGTCAACGTATTATAGATTTGTTATAATGTAATTTATAAATATTATTTTCGGTTTTTTTTATCCGATTATTCTCTCAAGATTGACGGCTATGAAACTCAAATACATATAAATGAAACTCCAAATACGTATTTATCAATTTTCACATTAGATTTCGTTATAACTACATTTGGCTGAAATAATGGAGAAATTGAAATTTGATATTATGAAATAAAGCCGAAACTTAAAACCGCAGTAGTCGCTTTTAGACTTAAAAGAGTCATGGCCAAAAGGTTTTCTGTTAGTATTAGATGAGGGCCTGGACCCTATCTCTCTACCAAACCAACTTTTCAACTGACTAACTTGACGTGGCCACTTCCAAAACTTCCACTTCTCTCTCTAAAAACTCCTTTTCTCTCTCTATCTAATCCATATGCACTGGCAACTATATATAGCAAGTGCTTTTGTTCTTGTTCTTGCAAGGTTCACCCATTTGCTAAGGAAAAGCTGAAAGAGAGAGAGAGACCAAAAGCCATTTAGAAGAAGAGGTCATAGTGCTCATGCATATACAATCAAAGGGTGAGAAATAAGAGCACCTATAGACACACCAGCCCATAGAGACATTAAATATACACTTTAGAAAGAGCGAGAGAGAGAGATGGCCCAATCATTCAAATTCACAGTGCATGTCCATGGAGCCCTGTTAATCCAACCCAAAACCACCACCCCATATGAATTCAAGTACTTATCAAACATTGATGACCAGTTAGGCCTACGAAACCACATACCCTTCATTCATTTTTTCTCACACAACCCATCTCTATCAAGCCAAGACCCTGTAATCACCATTAGAGAAGCCTTAGGGAGAGCTCTTGTTTACTACTATCCTCTGGCTGGGAGGCTTAGGAATGGGGTGAGAGGTAAGTTGGTTGTGGAGTGCAATGGAGAAGGAGTGAGATTTGTTGAGGCTGAGGCTAATGTGAGTCTTAGAGAGATAACAGCGGCATGTGGAGAGACGTTGAAGCCTCCTTTTCCTTGCTTGGATAAGTTGTTGGTGGATGATGTCTGGGGTCCTTCTTGCATCACTGACTCTCCCTTGCTCCGGGTGCAGGTGACTCTCTCTCTCTCTCGCTATCGGATCTTTTCTCTATCTCACATCACCTTCATCATATAGTTTTTTTTTATTTAATTGGAGTCAACTACATAAATCTTACTATGTCACTTTGCTCTATTAAGGGTCACATCCTCAATGCCATTATTAGTTTCTGTGTCTCACATGTATAAAAGAATTTCTCTCTTTCCTATCCCACTAGATTCCATCTCTCTCATGCCTATTAGAATTTCTCTATATATTGAATTCATGTCTTACGTATGCATAAAATTCAGGGAAATTACCTACATAGTAGGTAAAATTTACATAATTACCCTTTGTTGATGTTTTCAGAAATTTTACATTGAGATCCTTTTTAAATTTTTTCTAATTTTGCCCATAGGTCGGTGTCACAAACATTAAATTGTTTTTTTTTGTTTTGGCATCAGACAGTCTAATGGATAATTTTATTGGACCGCCCCATTTTTGGGAGGGGGGGCCGATAATGGCAACAACAATATTTCCCTTTTGTATATGGATAGAAATAGCATTTCCCAGGTCAGGCACTAGGGTCGCCGATCATGTGCGGGACTGACCAATGCCGATAGATTGCAGACATATGGAAGGGGAAGTGAATAAGATCCTTTTTTTTTTTTGGCATGCAATGAGGCGACCAAATTTTTCCCTTGCAAGGAAATAGCATTTCCCAAATCAAGCACTAGGCCCAATGTTCCATACATCAAAATGATCCATACTTAACCTTTTAAGTGTGCCGGTCCGATGATTGGAACATCTCACTACTCCATAAAAAATAATAGAATATATCATAGTGAGGTCTAACATTGCCATTATCAAACTGTCCAAGATATTGGGCAGTCCAATATCTTATCCACGGGACTGTCCCATAAATGCCAAAAAGTAAAAAATGAAAAATAAAGTTATTCGATGTTTGTAAGATCACACTAATATCAAAATTGAAAAAAAAAATCCCTCCCTAAAAATTTCTGAAATCTCGACCGAAAGTTAATACCATAAATCCCAGTTTCCACGTAAATTTCCTTCTCCCATCTCTAATATTTCTCGCCCTCATCTTTCTTTCGCTCTCATGTCTACTAGAGCTTTTCTATCTCCCATGTCTAAATAGAATTATCCATCTTATTTCCCCATAGAATTTCTGTCCCTCCTATCTAAATAAAATCTCTCTCTGTCTGTCTCTCTCTCCCTCCAACTCTCGCATGTCCTTTGCCTCCAGGTGACCCGCCTCCTGTGTGGTGGCTTCGTGTTGGCCTACACCTTCAACCACTGCATGTGTGATGCATTTGGCGCACTCCAATTCATGACAACTGCCTCTCTCTTCGCCCGAAACCCGAATCTCCCCTCTCTCTCTAACTCACCAACGTGGGCACGTGAGGCCCTCACCCCCAGAGACCCACCCCGCATCACCCTCCCCCACCCTGAATACCACGACCCCAATGAAGGTCTCACAAACCCCCCTCTTTTCTCAGAGGCCCACTTCAAACACTTGGTCCAAAACTCATACTTCTTCTCAAAAGCTGATCTCTCCACACTAAAGCGCAAGGCCCACAACGCCCCCACCTTCGATGCTGTCGCCTCATGCCTATGGCGTGCACGCACCAAGGCTCTAGGCCTCGAGGGCGACCTGCGCCTCCTCTTCCCAATAGACACAAGGCTTAGGTGCAGTCCTCCTTTGCCCAATGGCTACTATGGCACGGCGGTCGTGTTTGTGTGTGCACGTGTTGACGCAAATGCATTATGCAGGCCAGAGGGGCTGGCAAATGCGGCGAGGTTGATCAGTGGAGCGAAGAGAGAGGTGGATGATGAGTACAGGGCGAGTGTTATCGATCTTTTGGAGCTTAGGGGAAGGAGAGAGTTCGGGAGAGAGGGGGTTTTCGTGGTTTCAGATCAAAGTAGGTTGGCATTTGCGGGAGTTGATTTTGGGTGGGGGAGAGCGGTCTATGCCGGGGCTGCGAGGGCTGGGACCGGGCCCGTACCGGGCATGGTCACGTCCATTGTGGGGCACAATGGGGGAGTAGTCGCTTTGGTGAGCTTGGAGAGAGAGCAGGTGGGGGCGTTTGAGGAGGCTGTGAGAGAAGATTTGAGGCCTGATGCAAAGCTTTAAGGGCCTCTCCATATGCTTGAAGAGAGAGAGATTGGGTCTTGACGGTTTGTGTGTAGGACTATTGTTTTCTTTGATTTCATTTGTTTGCTAGTAACATTTGAGGTCTGTATGAATAAATGTTTACACTTGCATTTATGTGTAGAGTATAGTTTCTCTTGATTTGTTTGGGAATAAAGTATCCAAATTTGCTAAATAAAAAGGTTTATATAAAGTCCTAACCTTAAAATGTAGAATTAAGACGCACCTCAAAAATTCATCGAAAAATGTTGTTTTGATGTTGAAAATCTCTCTAATTGATAATATGGACATCGAGGTGTATGAATATGCGAAAAAATAAATATTCCAATTCCAAAAAATAGTACATCTTCCAACACATTATCTAGACCATCTATTTTTAAGATTTTTATGTATTTATAGATCTACTTGATTTGAACCATTTTTGAAGTTTAAAAATTAACAATTAGATATGAAAATAGATTATATGGCCATCCAAAGAATTTTTTACACCAAAATTACATCTTATGATAAAATTTAGACGTACACCCTACTTGGATCGTAACTTATACAAACCACACCCTTTGCTAAAAAGGAAAGTATACAATGAGACCATTTACCTTTGGTAATAGGTGATCACAATTAATCTTGATAATTGGATGTTACATTGAGTGGCTATATTTATTTCATTGACCAATTTCAAAGTTTAAAAGATATGTTTTTGAAGTTTGCGACACACCCAAGCTATCAGGTCCCTATACAAAAGGTAAATGGTCTCATTGTAGACCATCGCTTGCTAATATATATATATATATATATAGGAAAAGATCGTGTATGCCCATATGCGTATTGTTAGAGTAAACGCCTAATAGCCTAGATTTGAATGTGGGCCGATTTGACGGTCACGACCTCATTTCGTGTTTAAATTTTAATTTTTTTTCACAAATCTAAATCACTTTAAATTTTAGACGTGTGTTCTTCAAAAATAGACAAATCTAATAAAAATATCAAAAAAATATTTTACATGAAATAAATTGATCAAAATACCCCCGAAAAGTTTTGAGGGTATTTT